CCATGAACCAGAGAGCTTGGCTCTTTAATTCACAATCATAGTTTCTACTCCTCAGTGTGCTGGCCATAATGGCTGTCATCTTACTTGCTGTAGAGAACAGCAGCACCACAAAGTCTACACAACACGCCACTACAACTTCAACACATATCGCCATAATTGGACTACTCATGGGCTAGGATGCCTTTAATTTAGCTTTAGTTGAGGGTCAATGACATTTTGCACTTGCATTATTTCTTCCCTGCCCAATTTTCACCCGCTGTAGAGCTCTACCTCTCAAGGTCAGATCAAAGACAGCTGGACTGAATTCCCTTTACAGATTATAAATAGATTGCACCTGAATTAATCTGAATTTTTGCCTTAATTCATAAATTGTTGGTTAGGAAATTTTAGTGGGAAGGGGGAGATGCGTACAATCCAGAGTGAGGAGTGCCTAGAACAAATATCTTCCATTTTCTGGTCAGCTTTTCTTGCAATATTTGGCAAAAGATGATATCACTACATTGTTCTGTCAACATCAGACAGTTCTGCTTGGTTTGGTCTAATCTATCAGAGGAATCAGGGAGGTAAGCAGATTTATTAACTTCCCAGACTAATTTCTATCACAACAAACCTAAGGTAACTGCTCTGGTTGGCTTCTCTGCATGATGTTATTATAATTTTGCATGTTTCAGTTCATGCAAAGCTAGTACATACACAAGGAAAGAATGGGATGAAGAAAGAGTGAATCCAGAGTTGCCAGCTCCAGTGACAGAAGACACCTCCATCTACAAAAACTTCAATAGTTTTGTTGACACTTCAACCTGTGGCTGGGGGAGGGGAGGAATGGGGGGAATAAACAAGAAAATGGAAATAGCAGGGATGGTCAGTGGAGTGTTATCTGAAGGGAAATGTCTGAAGAGAGGCACCAGCAGAGGAGTCTTGGAGCTTGGAAGCTTAAAAGAAGAACAGTGGAGAAATCTTTGGGTTTGCTCTGGGCTGTGTGGGCTGGATGGAGGAGTCTGGGAGGAACTACCTAACCCTTTGCAGGGGACAGCAAACCTCTGTCTAGGTGGCCTCTGCAACAATAAATGCCATTACTTAAATAGGCATTTATTGTGCCCATTTGTTTGTTGCTTGGGAGTTCAGATTTCAATTGATCTCCCCAACAAGAGGTAAAGTCCCTCTCTCAGGAGATGAACTGGGTGCTAAATCTTTGAATTAGGGCCACAGAAAATCAGGGAGGGTGAGAGACTTAAAAGCTAGGGTCTCAGTGGGAAGGAGCCAGTATGCCCCCTTCCCCTCTACCCTTTCCCCCTCCTGCTCTAGAAGCCACACATGAGCTGGCTTTGGGTGGCACCCTCAGAGACCAGACAAGTATGTGGTGGTCCCAAGCAGGTACCCCCTTGTTGGACTCTGTGACAGCTGTTTCTAGGAATCATTTCAAGCAAAATGGTGGTGCCTCTGCACTTTTGCAGCCACTGACTCATGAGCATTTTGGATCACTCTTTGGGCATGTCTACACATACATTAATGTGCCTTAGTTACTGCTCATTTAGTACTTGGATAACCAAATACTAAATCGGTTAAACCTCGACTCCATGCGGCACCCAGCGACTAGGGAGATGATAATCCAATTACCCATGGATCCTGTTGCTCATTAGCTAGAGCAAGCAGGGAGCAAACACCAGCACACATTGCTCACAATAGCTTTATTCAGAATGGAGACAAGCTTCGGACAAGGGGCCTCACACCATAAGAGACGGGGTCCTGCCCCAAACAATAGGTTTTTCTTACAATTATACACTTTGGTTTATACTCATTAACATTCACTCCACCTCTGTCCCACCTTCTGTTCCACCCATTTCTCCTCCCATCTCAAGCTCCGCCCTTGTTTACTGTTTGCATCATTAACATGGACTTCCCTCTGCATTTCACTCATTTACGTGTCTTTTTGCTATTAGCGTATGTCTAAGACCTTGACTCTTGCTCTTCGGTCAATGGGCAGACTTTGACCAAAACCTAGAAGCTTCTGGAGGCTTCTTCACCAATCACCATTCACCTTTTTGCATATGTTCATCTTGGATTCTGTTACCAATTATGTGTTGTTTTTCACATTCCAGTCTTTTTTTTGTCTTAGGTTGTACCATCTTCTACCTTTTTTTGGGTCCCTGAATCTTATCTCATTCCTCGCTGTAGCTGGTTCATAGCACACAGACTTAATTGCTGCTTTTTCCAGAAAAATGGTTGACAAAGTTAAGATGGTTACTTAGCATAAGCAAATGGATGGCTTAGCATAAGCATTCATAAGCAAAATCTGGTTGCCTAAGCATCTTGCAGTATATTTTTAATATATCATTCTGCCTTGTGGTTAGCAGCTCTGCTAGGCCACAGGTCATGCCTTTATTCATCTGCAAATCCAGTGCTCCCTACTAATCCAAATTATTGTCACCCTAACAAAATCAATGTGCAGTAACTTGTGCTACTGCACAGTAGCACTGGCACTTGGATTTTTAGTGACACCTACTGTGCAGTACCATATTAGCACCATTTTTGCCCAGCATGCTACTGTGCAGTGTTATTAGGCTAGGGTGCAGTTAGCATCTCATCTGTTTAGGGGCCTTAGAGATTAATTAAGTCCTGGGCAGAAGTCATTGTTCAGTAACATATGAATCATCAGCTGAGAACTATACAATTACCTGTATTTTAGTTTAGTCTTCAACTAATCCATTTTAATTTAAAATAAAGCAATTATTAAAATAGCACAACTAGCAACAATTGTTACAGAATCAATGGCTGGGTTTTCTTAACACTTCCAGGCTATAAGTATTTAAATGAGTAAAACATTTCATTTTTTTGTCAAATACGTTAAGAATTATTTCATCCCAGGAGGAAGTAATTAAGATAACGCTTTTTGAAATGAAGCGTTGCAACCAAAAAAAAATAAATTTCCTCATGTTGCTTTTCAGGGAGGAATATTCAGAGATCAGTTGCTTCTTTAATTGTGTTATGAGCAGGGTAGGGTGATTTTTGATTCATTAATACTGTTTTTAAAGGAAAAAACAGATACATAAAATATGCTGGTTTTACCGTATTGAATAATCATTAAATGCCTTACAGTCATTCTAGCCTTATAATCATTCTAGCCTTACAGTGGCCTTTTAATTTGGCAGACTAGCATAATTATTTTTTATCTATTATAGATATGTTAACAGCTATAATGACAGAATTTCTATATTGCTTGAATTTTAGAAAAGTCATTGAATAAATACCTCTAAAAAGGGAAAATCAGATTTCCATGAGAAAAAGAGTGGAAACTCAGGATGAATGATTTTATTCCTCCAGAACTCTACAGGGAAAGATGATCTTACCTAACCCTCTGAGGATTCATGTGCTTACCTTCACATGCATGTGTAGATTCATTGCATTCATGAACATGAGCCACCAGTGCTATGAACATGAGCCACCAATGCGATGCTGTAGCTGGCAGAACTAATCAAACACTGGCATGCATCTACTGATGCATCTTGAACAAGACTAAGGATATCCTTCTCCCTTTCTACTCAGCCTTAGTGAGACTGCAACTGAAGTACTGCATCCAGTTCTGGGCCCTGCACTTCAGGAAGGAAACTTGAGACAATCCAAAGGAGGGTCATGTGCATGATTAGAGATCTAGAGAGCAGGTCATATGAGGAGAGGCTGAAAGATTTGGGCTGAAAGACATGTTCAGCCTGGAGAAGAGAAGGACTAGATGGCAGCCTATAAGTATATTAGGGGTATACATCAGGGCCTGGGGATCCTCTGTTCACCAAGACACTCCAGGGGAAGACAAGAAACAATGGACACAAACTGATTGAAGATCACTTCAGATTGGACATAAGGAAAAACGTCTTTACAAGTCAAGTATCAAAGGTCTGGAACAGACTCTTCCCTGTGGTGGTAGTCACTGACTCTGGCAATCTTCAAAAAGCGTCTTGACGCCCACCTTGATGGGGTCATCTGACCCCAGCAGCCTTTCCTGCCCAAGTGTAGTGCGGCTAGACCCGATGATCCTGCCCCTAACATCTATGAATCTATGAATTAAGTGGAACTACTTACATGCATAATTAAGCACCTATATAAATGAATGTAAGGGTTGAAGCTAACAGATCTAGTTATGCTGCTTCATAAATCATTGATCTTTCTATCTGGGTTGATAACTTGCTCACTTAGGATGTGAAAACATTGTTCTTTTGACTCTATTCAGCATCTCACATAAAAATAATTTAGACATCAGGTATCATTTTTCCCGGCTGCATTACCAGTGACTTCTATCATTGGTTGCTTGCTCCTCTCACCTTACAACATTTTTCTGATGGTTCAGAAGATATAGTCCATGCATTGGTAAGTAAATCTTAAAAGCTTTGGCTATATGGTCAATTAGTAATGATTTTTTTTTTTTTTTTATTTTCACATGATGCAGAAACGAACAAAATCTTTGGATTCTCAAAAAATTGAAAAGCTTTCTAGAGACATTTCTGACCCATATATTTCTGGTGATAGATTATATATATATATATATAGAGAGAGAGAGAGAGATTAAAATTTCTGTCCTAATTCAATTGAAACATTAGTGTTCATGGATTCTGTTGGATCTGCTGTTTCATTACTCAGGTATATCTAAGAATAATAAAGTATATATGAAAAAATGGCTTACAAACATAACTAGCCCTTTGAGGAGGGCAAGTATACCTTTTACATGAATGGAGAAATTGAACTGAAAAAAATCAAGTGCCTCTAGGTTTACGTCAGACATGAAACCAATATTCAGTAGTTTATGGCACTTAGTCCAACCATTACATTAAGTTCATAGTAGCATCCTGACATACTATACCCTGAAAATCTTATAAGTGGCCTGACTAAAAGTATGTAGCATATCTCTCTTGAGGTGGCTATGGTGGTTGCAATGATGACGATAATGATAATGATGATGATTGTGAAATACAAATCTCCATTGTTATTTTTCCCCTATTGTTCTCTTGTAGCTCCATGTGGTGGGCATTTTTCATCTCCCAGTGGAGTAATCCTCTCTCCAGGCTGGCCTGGCTACTATAAAGACTCCTTGAATTGTGAGTGGGTGATTGAAGCTGAACCAGGACACTCTATCAAAATTACATTTGAAAGGTCTTGATTAATGTTTTTCTTATTTGATACTTTCCAATGTTGTTCATAATCAGGTGTTTATTTTCTCTGTCATAAAACTCATTTATAGTTGGATATTAGCAGTCATGAGGGTGGTTTAGTTACTTAGTGGGAATTTTGAAAGCATCTAGGCCCAGGTACAGACACTATACTTTTACCAGTATAAGTGATCAGAAACCGGTCTATACCCATAATAGAACAGAAGTTCAGCACACAGAACTGGTCTATACCTGTAACAGAGAAGAAGTTCAGCATTCATAGACTGGTTTAAAAATGATGGAACCTGCTCTAAGATTTGCAGCTCCCCACTAAAAGTTGAATGTGTGTTCTGTTTGCTCCCGATCTAAATTACGCTGTTTATAGAAAACCAAGTCACTTATATTAATTTTGTCTTAAGGTTTTTGAGTGCCTGTACCTAGCCAAGGTGTCTTCAGAGAGTAAATACCTTTAGGTTTTTGAGGCACTTGTGTTCCTTCTATATTTAAGAGTTTGGGGATTTTCTATCCTTATTTATTTATGGGAAACAGTAAACCAAAGTTTAAACTTTGTCTCTCAGAAACCTATTGTTTAGTGTGTTGCTAATGTACTGCTCCAGCTGAGCTATTCTTCTGCACCCTTTTCTCTCTGTTTTTTTCTTTACGCAGGGAGGCGGGGGGAGGGGGAGGAGAGAGAGACAGAGAGCAAAATACCTCCAGTTATGTTTTAATTGATTTCTGAAACACTAATCCTCTAATAGGGCCCACTTGAGGATAAGGGTCTGCCTCCACAGATCCCATTTCAGGATTATATCTAAAAAAGCACTGCCAGTGTTTGATGGCACTGACATGAAGAAGTTAGACTTCATAGTATCAAAGCTCTATTAATTAGGAAACTTTAAGAGAGCATGAGTGTGGGACCCATACATTATTTAAGCATAAAAGTGTATAAAATTATACATAATTACATCTTTTATAAAGGGAATATCTGTACTTTTTGTTCTGAATATTCCCCCAATCTTCAGGTTTTCAGTTCCTCTCAACATATTAAATGAAACCTCAACTCAAACTCGGTGGCATCAGGTTTTCACACACTCTGAGAATCTGAAGTAATGAATTCTGGGTCAGACAACCAGGCACTTGTGCACAAAAGGCAGACACACTGTGAATGAATCTCTCTCTTACTACAGAGAGATGCAGAGCTGAACACCTTTTTTATTACTGCCTCTTCCTGGCCCCAAAGATGCAGTGCTGAAGAGAAGTTTGAAATTCATGTTGGGTGAAGTGTGGGCAAAATCACTCCCGCTACCTCCTCACAGTGACAAAGGAAGTTGCTAGAAGATAATTCATACCTTTTGTGTGCAGTCCATTATATTAAAGAAAAAGTAAATTTTACTTCATAAAAATACAAAGTGCTGTAGGCTACTTGAGATGGTGCCAAAATCTTTCTTTAATGTTTAATCTTAAAGAAGATAACTTGATAAAACAGAAAGATCTGTGGGCATATTTGAGGTTATAGGACACAGGAATTGGGTAAACAGAAGTTCAGTAGCATAGGTGGTGTTGAGAAATTCTGAAGGTGCACTCCCATGCCATGTTCATGCTTTCTATTTTGGGAGAGCCTGAAAGCAGTAATAGGGCATTCACTTAGGACTCTTTAAAGCTGTCCACGCTGCCTGTATTAGTCTCTGCCTGCTGAATTCAGTTAATTTAAGTCATATGACTTTCTAGGCTGTTTGTAATAATGATAGAATCAATATGATTTAGATATGGTTGAGATTCTCAGTTACTTATATTTCTCTTCAAAAATACTTCTTGTGCCAAAATTTCTTAGGATTATGTTTAGCTCAACAGTTGTTTTTAGGGGGGCAAGTTAAAAAACCTATTTAAGTTATAGTAATGAAAAACTATAATAGAAAACACAAATTAATCAAAATGTTTCAAATCAATTCAAACTCATGTTTTACCCTATGCTTCTTGCAATTCATACATTATCTCATATTAGGAAACTGAAGTACTAAACATATTCCACCCATAGGCATAATTGGTATAATTGGTATTGCTCCTCCTTTAGAATTGTCCAGAAAGTGTCAAGGACACTGAAAATAAGTGGGACCATTTTTCTACTACACCATCTTGTATTGGGCAGCACATGAGGCCCTGGATGATGCAGGTATGATGCCTGTAGTCCCCTGTAGTACTGCTTTGTTCCTCCCTCCCTTTGGTGTCTTTCTGGCTCCTTTTCCAATCTGCAGTAAACCAATGGATTCTGGTCACTACTGTGAACCAGAACTATTTAGTCTGGTTTCCTATGCACTTCAAATCCCCTTTCTCCATCCCTTTTCATCATGTACCCTTTTTATTTGAGGTATTCTTCCTGCCAGTTCTGAGGATTGTAGAAAAAAATCCCCATCATCTCATAGAGAAGGGATTTTACAGCAGTTTCTGGTTCAGATTAGGATGGTAGGTTGGCATTCCTTCTTAAATTTAAGAAAGATCAATGCTATCATTTGCAAGCTCAAGTTCATTTTGATCTCATTAGCAGTCTCTCTTGCAAGGATACCTTGATGGCCAGGTTCACATGTATCCTTTAACAAGATGCTTATGTCCATATTACTGTCAGACCTTCACAGAAAATATCTTCAGTTTGTATTGGCTCAGGTCCATTATCAATACAGGTTTTGACCTCTTGAAGGCTCCAAGAATCTTCATCAGTGTTTTCTTGGCAGTAACTGAATATCTCAGATGGCAAACAGTCACCATCATTCTTAGCTGGATGACTGGGTGATAAGAGGGGCCTTCTGACTAGTGAAAGAAACCTCTTCTGAAAAAGCAGAACACAGTCTACACACTCTGGGATTGCTAGTAGACCAGCTCTTCCATACTCTGGGATGTTGATAGATAAATATTAAATATGACCCCCACACGAATGTATGAATTCATGAGAGCAACTTGCGACTCTGACTGCAGTAGCCCATGCTCCATGGGATTATTACATTTGGCCAGCAGTACATATCTGTCTAACAGTTCTCAGCTAAGAGTTTCATCCCTCTTAGATAAGAGATTTATCCCTAACTAAACCATCCCAACCAACTGTCTGTCTAACCTGCTTTTGAAAACTGCCAGGGATGGAGATTCTGCAACTTCTCCAGGTAGCCTGTTTCAGTGCCTCTCCTCATAGTCAAGAAATTCCTCCTAATCTCCAACCTAAAATTCCCCTGCCAAAACTTGAGGGCATTGTTCCAAGTCCTGTCCCCTATAGCCACAGAAGGTCATCTCCATCCTCTCAGGATCACTTTGTACAGATCAAGACAGATAGTACTACCATGATGTTTTACATCAATAGACAGGATTGAATGTGTCACCCACATATGCAGTGAAATGGTATGTCTCCGCAGTGGTGCATCTGTCATGAACCACATCTCAATTGACAAGTCATCTTAGAAAGAACATTTTCAGTATGGGGTTGGTTAAGTATTGGAAGAGGCAGTACATAGAGGGTGTAGACATTTTGAAGAGTAGATTAAGGAAACACTTGACTGGGATGGAGTCATGGATGATTCTGCCTTAAGTAGAGGAATGGACTAGATGATCTCCTACTTGCCTATGATTCTGTGATCTTTCCTCTCCCAAAATACCAAGACAAACTGTGATTGGGAGTTCAAAAACTGTGTTCTACAGCTTATCTTGCTAGATTGGGGATACCTCAAAATAGATTTGTTCTTATTGTCCATCAACACGAAATGACAGCCCTTCTGTTCCAAAAGAGGCTTCAGCCTGTGCTCTCAGCCTAATTTGTTTCTTATTCAGTACATGTAAATCTTACTATATGCTTTCTTGTCTGCACATACATCTTCCTCTCTTGGTGCTCCCAAAAGTCAGACTGGACTTGGCTGAATGATGCTGCTAGCCCATATATCTTTAGAATTTTGGCAACAGGTCTTCTGCTGATGTCTGTGAAGGGCCCAAAATTCTTCTTCTTGGTCCCAGATCTCCTTCCTTGGTCAGAGGAACAGTGATTGATCCAAATCTGCACATCCCTCATGTCATGGACTGGATGCTAGATGGTTATTTGACTTATCACAGAGAGCAAGGGAGATCTCCATTCACAGCAGAAATAATTCCACTACACTTGCATTTACATTTAGAGGTTGGCAGTCTAGTAATCTCTGTCCTGATCAGTCTTCTACCCAGACCATATTGGAGTATCTCTTGGAGTTTAAAAACATATAATGAACTACAAACTTAAGCAAAGTGCATCTTGGACCACCATCCTTCTTTGGGTGGCATCCATTTTCCCACCCAACAGTCCTGAGATTCCTGAAGGTCCTAAGTGATGTTTTTCACATTATGGAACATTGTGTTGCACAACAGGACCTAAATTTGATCTTCATATCTATGTGAAGGTGCTATAATACTGTGCTCCTTGTTCCATCATTCCATCTTTCTTCATAACAATTATTTTTGCAAGGATTGTGGCAAGATCCAAAATGTCGTGATGAATCGTCAATATGTGGTGTTTTACTAGGACATAGAGTCCATAAAAATCCACCCCAGTTTTTTACTCTAGGTGGCTATGGAATTCCACCTTGGTCCACAAATCAACTTACCAGAGTTCTTTCTCTTAGATCTTATTCTTCATGAGTTGAGATGGCATTACAGTTGCATGACATAAAAAGAGCTTTACCCTTCTACTGATTGAGGACAAAGCCCTGTAGAAAGTCTCAAAAAGGTATTTGTTTCTTTAGCTGAGAGATCAAGGGGTACAGTGATACCAACACAGAGACCATACAAATGGCTACAGGACTGTATTAAGCTGTGTTATTAGACTGCCAAGGAGGGACTACCATCTATATATTCAAGGTACGCTTCCAAACAGCAGGCAATTGTAGATGCATCCATCCTTAGGACAGCCACCTGGAACTCAGTAATCACCTCTGCCAAGCTCTGTGTAGTTGCTGATGCCTCTCAGGCAGACACTGCATTTGGTAAGGTGGCCTTTTAGTC